TAATAGGCCATCGTTACATACTTACTACAGGAGACAATTCACAATGTTCCTTTATCACCAGTGGCTGCCTGTACAGAAATTTCCTTGTTAGAACTATACAGAATCCTACAAAGCTAGTGACTGCTTACGTCAGCAAACGTTTCCTGCCATTATGACTCACGATGAAGCCTGTCAGATAAATTTCTATTTCAGGCAGAGTCACTTATCGATCAATAAATCGGACACTTTGCACTCATGTGAAGAAGATATTCTGTTGTTGAAAAAGTATTTGTGTGCACACTTAATCATTAATCATGCAGCCGTGTTAATTAGTTCAACATCTGAGCATTGTTAAGGGAGTAGAGTTGGGAAGATAAATAGAAGGGATGTTCCTGTTGACAGTCACTGATATCAATCATCCAGGATGCTGAGATTAATTTTCTGGTCAACTGTCACTATTAACAAACAGGACATGCTATTTACTGAATGTGAAATGATGCTGATAGCATATGTATACAGTAATACATAATTGTGCATGACTTTACAAAGTACATATATGGATACATATATACTAATTCTTAATGCATCTAACGTTATTGTGACAGTTTATAGTAAAGTTTAGCACTGGGGCATTATGTCCAACCAAGTCACATAATCCTGATACCAGGCCGACCATTCCTAATACTAACCTCTAAATGTTGAGCGCCAAGCGAGACAGCTAACAGTACCATTTTTATCAGTCTTCGGAATGACTCAGCCGGGGTTCCAACTCGCGACCTCCCACATCGATGCCAACGTTCTAACCACTTGGGCCACCAGATAGGTTCCTACCTACCTACTTACATGCATAGATGTACATACACCGACGTCCATCCATCCCTAGCAAACAGTTCAATGTTGCATAAAAATTGTGGCGACCTTATATTATGCTGCGGAAACATCATTTGCTGCACTGGCTGACATGTTGCTATAACGTTGTCGTTTGGCGTCATAATATATGATTCCTTGGAGCTGACAATATTTACTAATTAAATTGAAATCTGTGAATAATGAAAGCTGCTTGTATTTCTGAAATACATATACCCAACTGCTGGCAAATGGTTAAAGTTCTACAATAAAACATTACGAAAATGTCGAAATGGCCATCCATCTAGGATGAGTGGCAAAATTTTCAAGATGGTTGTCGTTGTTGCTATACTGAACGTCTGACGATCATCATTTTCTTTTGGGGAAAAAAAGTATTTTAGTCTATTGATTAAATATGACTATTCACCTATGAGGATTAACATTAAAATGTTCAAGACGGCTGTTATGTTGACCATATTTGATGTCAAACCAGTACCATGAGTCATTTGACGCAAACTCCATGTAGGAATTCATCTAGGAATTGTAGCGATGAGATTTTTTAAAGATGGTTGCTATGGTGGCCGTACTGATGTCAGGCTTACACCATTTTCGTTTATGACTTTAAGTGAAAACCATATATCGATATGACCGTCCATCTAGGAGAAGTAGTGGCAAGATTTTCAAGATGGTGACTTGGTGGATAAGGTGTATATCATCGAAAAATTATTTATACATGTAGAAGTAAAGTTGACGTATCACCGTGCTTCCTGTAATATCATTTGGCAGTGTACCTTTTGGACTCGCTTGTCCATTCAGGCAAGTGATTGGCAAAAGCAATTTGTATCAAAGTAGATTTTACTTGTCCCAATAATTCACTTCAATAAAATTCCAAGTGTAAGCATTTGCCCAATTGGATGTAAATTTCTCCTAGTCATGTTGTTGTTATTATTATTATTATTATTATTATTATTATTATTATTATTATTATTATTATTATTATTATTAGTAGTAGTAGTAGTAGTAGTAGTAGTAGTAGTAGTAGTAGTAGTAGTAGTAGTAGTAGTAGTATCATATTAGTTTAAACTGTTGCATACAAAATATATTTGCCCGAACTTAAAACAATTTACGAATAATACCGACTATGCTGCACAATATATGAACCTAAATTATAAAATAACTTGAACTATATTAACTTACTTTACTTTACAAATGACAGTCACTGGAAGATCTAAGTGCCATGGAGAAAAATATGCGGACTATAAAAATAGAGTGTAGTCCTTAACGTGGTCGAGTCTAGAAAAGAATATTTTTTGAAGATAAATCATCTTTCAATGAAGAAGAGGGGCTAAATTTTCAAAAGCACGAGGTACACTTAACAGATCTAAAGGTGTGGATTAATTTTCCGTGTTTTTAATTTAAAATTAGCCGGTATAACTGATGACAGATGTTATTCATATATGCTCTGTTTGCTACTCTCCTAAAATTCGTGTATATCGCTGATTAATTGCTAGTATTCCCACCAACTATAATGTCGCTGGTTCATGCTTGTAATTACCAACATTTAATTAGCTTTTAATGGGCATTTTCTTTTTACATGTATGCATATAAACAATTATAAATCTGACTAAAAATGAAACATTTCGCTTCAATTTTGCTTATAATTTATTCAATTTAATGTTATTATACTGCGGCGGAACCAAGAACGATAAATCTTGCTCTGCTTATTAAGCACGCGAAATTAAAACATGTTTACTTGAGGCATTTTACTAAAGAAACCAATCCATATCCTCGCTGTTGGTCTATGCAAAAATGTCCTAAATCAGGCCGATTGTTTTCCGCTATTTTCATGGACTTAAAGACAACCATTTTCGTTCTAATCATCAAATATTCGCACATCACGAAACCCTAATTTCACATCTGTATGGTTTTCTCTTTTTTCACATTTGTATTACTTATTAGTAAGTCTTTCTGGACCGTATATTAGTATTTCACACCGTGCAATACAAAACACGATGCAAACAACTAATGCAAAGAAGCTTTCCTATCTCAAATTGCTAAGCACACATATCTAAAAATATGCAAAGAATTCCAGACGTTGACAAATTAGATAGGTTCCATTGTCCGAAACCAATCCATTTTGTCATAATAAAGTCTGGAGAATACTGATCATTATGACGTCCACTTCGAAAAATCGGCTAATTACTCAGGCTAATGAAAATCTTCCCAACAAAGACTCGCAAGAATGAACTTTAAAAAGTCATAAATATATTACAAATCTAGAAACGAAGACTTAAATACACGCGCATGTCCTATGCTTATTACAATAATTTTGTTCAATACGGGTGAGACAAGCGCCAAAAGATATAGACTAAAAGCCTATGTAATTTTATCCTTAGACTAAACCCTTCGGCAGAGACCTGATTTTCTTTGTTTGAAAATAACAGTCCTTCCCAGCGGCAAGGTGTTTACATTATGCAAGAAAGCGTCCGTAAAGGTGATACCGGAATGAGTTGAAAAAATATATCATTTTTTTAAAACTAAATATGCGAATATTAGGTTAATTGATTAATGTTAATACACTGAATTTGTCATAACTGCTAAATGCAACAAAATAGTATGCGCCTCAGTCACAGATGTGGTTCTTGCTCATACCGGAAACGCTTGGTTCATAAATTAATTTTAAAAAATGTACAAGGCAATGATCTTACATCATGTTTATAATAGAAGAAAAGCTGTCGAATAAAATAATTTTGACAAAAAATGAAAATTAATTACCTTACTTCTTTCGAAAGTAAAAATGACAAACGATCAACACGAGAATTATTGCCCCTCACAATGAAATATCAAACACGACATTCCTACAACGTTGTAAATTCGTAACATCTCAGTGACAATGGCACTATTTTTGCACAGATTGTACTAACCAATGTATATACTTGCTATTTCTAAATTTCAATATTTTTGTGATCAGAGGACAAGTAAGACTTCATTGGCAATATTTTTGCACGTTGCAAGAACCTAATCAACTAACAAAATATTGTTATATCGTTAAATTCCCGTGTAAACAAGCCACCACCTGACAGCAAGGCTATAAAAATGTTGTCTTAGCTGGGTGCATACATTACAAATTGAACAAATGTTCACTGCATACAATACCAATTGAAACGTATGTACACTGCATATAAAACCAATTGAAACATATGTACACTGCATATATTGCCAATTGAAACATGTACACTGCATACATTATCAATTTAAAGATATGTACACAGCATACATTACCAATTGAAACAAATTTACACTGCAGATAGATGCCGTCATTAACAGTTTCGCATAATTTTACGTGAATTCATATGAAACACATATTCAAGTGTATCTAAAATACTTACATATCATAAAATGAACATCACGTATCGTCGTTGTAAACTAGCAATGCTAAATAATGAAAAGAAGCAGAACTTAAAGAACAAAAAAAGAAATACATATAGAAGAGTTCAAAATTCTCAGCCAGTTGGCATACATTTCAACTTTCGAAGCCTAAATCCGAGCTATTTGCCGGTTGTAGATTTACATTTAAATGCCTTCCAAACTTCTGATAAATTTCCTAAAATCAAAGAAGTAGCTATTATTGTCTTTTGTTAAAAGCGAGTTCCATAAAAATAATGAACTACAACCTTTTACCATCTTTACTTGACTGTTTTGGGATATGAGTATTTCTGTAATACTTGCACATATACAGAAGCCATTAACATGACGATACGGTGTGTCTATGTTTGTTTTCTCTAATGGTCCAATTGATCAGTGAATGAGCAATCAGACCCCTACATCGTAACAGCATGAATTCAGGGGGAAGGGACGACACATCTTCCAGGTTCTAGGTTCATGCTATGCTTAGTATACCAGTATCTGCAATAACCTTGGAGTCTATCCGAAAATCATAAAAGTGATGTGATGTGATTATGATTTTTAACTTATTTTAACACTTTTTATGTCATATCAATACGATGTCTGCCGCGTGACAGTTTTTAGTGGTCTAGCACTGGAGCAGACATGTAGTATGATGACCCACCCAGTCACATTATTCGGACACCAGGCCGACTATTCCAAACACTAACCTCTTATTGCTGAGCGCCAAGCGTGGCAGCTGTTAGTACCATTTTTTAAAGTCTTTGGTATGACTCGAACGGGGTTCGAACCCACGAGCTCACGCATTTGAGGCGGATATTTTAACCAATAGGCCACCTGAGCGGTTTTTTAAAAAAAAATATCATAAAAGTAATAAATATAAAGAGTTCCTACGCTAACATACCCATTCATCTGCTAAAAATTTGACTCATTTGCTCGAAAACCAGGTGAAGCGCAAATGTGTTAAAATAAATAAGTTACTTTTAATGTTGTGCCGTCGCGTTAATAAAAAGATGCCATTTTTATCAATTTCCACCAGGCTTGTAGTTTAAGTAATGAGTAAAATACTCTTTAATGGAAGGTTTAATTATCAATTCATAGGCAACTATATTTAATAGCGTTAATCATATTTTCAGGTTTTCTCCTTCTTGTCCATATGTCTGGAGTGTCATCAGGTCTAAATATAGTTGCCAACTTGACAAAACGAGGTGGGCAATTTTTAATGGTGTCACTAAGATTTCTCTTCGCTCGAGGCACTATAAAATATAAAAGAAATACGAATATTAATGGTTTTATCAAATCTCTCTGGTCTGTCTATTTCAAAACGGACGATTTTCTACAAATGTTCCAATTTCTCTTAGGGTTTATATCAGCACTCAGTATTAGATAATCCTCTTACTCAGCAAGTCGAATCACACAACTGATATAAGCAACTTAACTTTCAAATGAACTTCAGCCCTAGGTAAATGAGATTGTCTAAAGCGCTTACACATTTCGCCTCTGACCGCAGGAGTTCTAGTCTCACTCAACTCAAAAAACATGCAGGTATCTCCCACTTTATCTGTATTTCTTGCAGGGTTCTTCCTCCAGTATATCTGCTGGCCGTTACATTTAACATTTCATGTGCTTAAAAAGGTGGTGTTTAACCCCACAAAGCCAAATCAAGACAAACCAGTAATGAAGTTCGAGTAAAACTGCTGGTTAAGTGGAAAAATGATACGACAAATGAGAGCTGGCTGCCCCACGGACCGCTGAAACCGCCATTGAACAAATGTCTCGTGTATAAAACATTCGTCATTTGAATAATTATTGCTGACACCAGGAACTTCTTGATTTACTGTATTGTATCTCTTTCTATCCAAAGTTTTGATTTGTTTAGAAGTGCAGATCATTATAAGGGTCGAAACAAGAATGCATGCAAACCGCATTATCTAAATTTTCTCGAAATACTTTCCGTCCTTATTAGTCAGAAAGAGAGTTGCTAGCAACACATTTTAGTCTCAAGTATTTTACCGTTACCTATTATTATGCTTCCGTGTTTCTTCAAAAATTCCTACTGACGTCCTCAGAAAGAGTTTTAGATATTTGATTCAGTATGTTAACTTCATTGATAAACCACCGTCATTATTTTGCAGAATTATTCCTTTTTGAACACGCGCCGCTTAAACTTTTGTCAAACTGACAATATAAGACAATAGTTGTTTTTTATTTCTATATTGTGTGTTTAATTATGTGCGAGATTGAATGTTGTGGGTAGAACTTTGGCCAACATGAGTTTTGTCATGATTCTAAGTAGGAAGCAAACTGTTTACTAGAATCTAAGTTCAAGGCCTAACCTTGCTTACGGGTTAGTGGAACTTTTCATTAGAATTCCAGAACATTCAACTGTACTGTAAGTCAAGTGAAATTGATAAATAATTCATTCATGTTTTAATATCAGTCTATTAAAAGTTGTGTTAAGATTTAATTTGAAAGGAATTATTTATTTCAATTATTCAATGGAATTACAAAGTGAATGTTGACTTCTGGATACACATATTACTTTAGGATACAGATAACTTATTCAAAGATATTCTAGAGTGCACTGTTATTAAATATGAACATTCAAGACTATTGGATTTGTGATAGGACACTTAAGATCATTTGCGATGTAAGTCACATTTCATTTTTCAAGTGGAAGAGATAATATTTTTTCATTTTGCTGAATTTGCTCATGTCTCTTCTTTCTGCTACAATTTTTTAAGATCTAGGGTCGTAGCATAGTGTAACAGGAGAGAACTATAGCTGAACGGTATCAGTGAAATAAGAAAGACTAACGACTATAAACCGCATTATTGGTTGTCCAGGTTTTTCCTTTGAAAACATCTTACATTTTAAGACCATTGTTTATTCGAACACTTAGGAAAAATAAAAAATTAAAAATAATTTTCAAGATTTATCAATGGAAACGCCCTATTATTACACAGGCGTGAAACAAGTATCAGCCAGTACCTTTACGCAATAAATCTGAGGCAGGTTTAATCCATATTAAAATTCCGGCATACCTCGGAGGATAAAATAAATATTCAAGTCGGTGTAAATGTAGACCATCTTTTTCACACACGTACGCACGATAATACAAAAATACCATGATAAACTATCCGCCCGGAGATTACATTTTTCTCAAGTTGATTTTGCTTCCCGAATCAGCGGCCTGGTGTTTTTAGAGAAACGATAGAGAAACATATAAAAAAAAAAATAAGCATGGATCAAGTGACCCGTCCACATAGTAAAGTTGAACTTCAAGATTTCACTCACTATTATGACAGCCTCTTTGTTCCAGTTGTCAGTTTTGGGAAACAATCCCCTTTTGTTTCATGCAAATTAGCCGGGAATCGGTTAAGTTGTTTTTTCTTGGGGTTTTTCCCCTCTTATTTCAAGCTTTAGAAAGTCATTACAGTCTCCAAAAGGACCCTTTTTCAACATTTGTCATTATTTTACTTACAAGTAATCCAAACCAGTCAAGAAATTTTTTACAAGTGCACATCTGTGCACATACTAATGTATAGTTGTTAAGGAACGTTAATAATATGTCATGCTGGGTATTAGAATGGATAAAATAGGCAGATGGAATTTTTAAGACAACTCGTCTCTTCTGGCAATGGGTTGGGGATTTGAGTTAGGAGTGATCGAAGCACGCACAACATTTCATTTGGCTTTGGATATTCCATGTCCAGTTTGACAAACTGCTGATATTTGATTACCCGTATAGATTGTTATATTTTAATCTCACTCCACAGTGAATAGTCCTACGTATAACATTCAGCCAAAACGAGAGGTTATGCTTATCGAGAGTGTTTTCAGGGTCGGTTGCGGATACCTTGGTTAAGTAGGGAGCTGTAAGTACATGCACCATTTAAGCATTTTATCAACAAAATTAAATTGATTTTAACAGAGTGGATTGTGCAGTGTTTTAAAGTTTCAAGTGGTAAAAGACTTTTAAAATTTCGACAGTTACAATAGCCACAAAGATAAAGGACGTAAACCAAAAAAGACAAAAATAAGTTTTAAAGCTCGTGCAAGACATCCCGAAAAATTCAATAATAATGCACAAAAAGAATGTTAAGTCTCCGCAATTGTCTTTCTGAACCGTATATGTTGTGACTTAATGAAGTCAGGGATCAAAGTAGATTCCGGATTCCATGCAGCCAGATTAGTTCGCATAAGTTCATACTTGTTAATTTGTTTCTAAGCATGTATAGCATTTAAAATTGACCTTATGTCAAGAATTGTTCTTGGCCTTCTCCCAGTCCGTCTATTATGCGCATGCTCACAAATTAGAGCATGTTTATGTCCTCCACAATATTACGGTTCGTTTGAAATGATAACGCCATCTTATCTAGAAATCAAATAGTCTGCGACCATTAGCTGTCATTATCTCCCACATATTCTGTGTACAAAGAATGAATTAAAGATCGGGATTGCAATTATACTTTGGAATTCAATTATATTCTACCGTGTTGGAAACGTCCCCGAGTTATACGGAGGATAATGAAAAGAAACCCTAGCAGAACTAAAGACAAATTGGTGTGTTCGTGTCCCCCCCCCCGCCAACACTCTAAAACCATATATACAATTAGGACACGCCTATTATTTACCAATTATTTTTGTACCTTGTCACGGTGACATAAAGACTATCTTGTCTTTCATTGTTTATCATGAAGCTAAACTGAGTACGCTGCATGAAATAATAAATAATATGCAGTGGTGATAAAGACAGGAGAAATATAGGCAAAACGAACATCTTTAAGGGTATTATAATCTTTCTCTGTTACACATATGGTATTCTCTCTCTCTCTCTCTCTCTCTCTCTCTCTCTCTCTCTCTCTCTCTCTCTCTCTCTCTCTCTCTCTCTCTCTCTCTCTGGTATTAGAATCTCATTATTAGACAATTACACATAGGGTATTATAATTTTTCTCTCTCTCTATTTCTCTCATAAAGAATCTCTCATTATTACACATAGGGTATAAATCTCTCTATCCCTCACACACACACACACACACACACACATACATACATACATACATACATACATACATACATACATACATACATACATACATACATACATACATACATACATACATACATACATACATACATACATACATACATACATACATACATACATACACATGGTATTAGAATCTCTCATTATTACACATCTCTCATCACATACAGGGTATTAGAGTCTCTTTATTTCACCTACGGTGTATGGTATTAAAATCTCTCTCTCTCTCTCTCTCTCTCTCTCTCTCTCTCTCTCTCTCTCTCTCTCTCTCTCTCTCTCTCTCTCTCTCTCTCTCTCTCTCTCTCTCTCTCTCTCTCTCTCTCTCTCTGTTATATGCGTGGTATTGGAATCTCTCTCATCTACATAAAGTATCACAATCTCTCTCTCTCTCTCTCTCTCTCTCTCTCTCTCTCTCTCTCTCTCTCTCTCTCTCTCTCTCTCTCTCTCTCTCTCTCTCTCTCTTACACATACAATATTAGAATATCTCTATTACACATTGAGTATTAAAATCTCTTTAATTATACATAGTGTATTAGAATCTCGCTATTACACATAGCGTATTAGAAACTCTTAGTACATATGGGTTATTAGAAACTCTCTATTACACATCGAATATTATAATCTCTCCATTTCAAATAGACTATTACATAATGTATATATATATATATATATATATATATATATATATATATATATATATATATATATATATATATATATATATATATATATATATATATATATAGAGAGAGAGAGAGAGAGAGAGAGAGAGAGAGAGAGAGAGAGAGAGAGAG